ATTTTTCACCAAAATTTTTAATGCGAGAAAAGAAAAAAATATGCGAGATTCTCGCGCTGTAGTGAAAACACTGAAGTTTCCGTTTACTTTTTTTTTGAAATTTTAATATGAGTTTTTAGATCTTTATTAATATATTCAGCTAAATTGTGTAATTTATTTCCCTTTTTTTTTGCAATGGGATTGGCAATTGGGAAATCATTTAATGTTTATTTACAGTTCAATGTATTCCTGCCTTCATTTAGCAATGAAAAAAAAAATTGATATTCTTAGCCAATAAAAGCTTTATTTTGTGTTATTTTCGAAATATTGTTTTCTTAAAGACCTAATTTTATGATACTAGGACAAGAAATAGTTGTATTTTTTCACTAACTTCTCAACGCAACTTCCCATAATACCACCCTGCGATTAAGAAAATATTCACTACACCACATCACTCGTTTTTCTCCAAACCACCAATCTCAACCTTGGCCCAACCAATTTAGCAACGTCTCGCAGATATCGAACTAGTCAAACTCTCACCCAATCTCCAACTTAGGCTGCAACTGTCTGGTTGATAAATTACCACGGAACTTTTTCATCATTCTGTCAATTCTTCTTCATACTCATTCTTCAACACGTTGATGTAAACAATCCCTGACGAAAAAAATAATAATTTTTTGACAAGATGGCAATAAGTATTCAGCCCCCAAGATGGTATTCTTCTTCCAAATTGCGTGCGTGCCATCTGTCAGTGTATTGCCTTTCTTGGTCCATTATAGGCCATCTCCCGTGCCTCCACCACCCCCTTATCAAAGTCTGGCTACATAATCCCTTGAGATCGGAACTTAGTGTCCTATAATTACGCAACTCTGTGCTGCCTGGCTTAGGATCCTTTCCCCATTTTTCTATCCGTTTCACTTCTGTTTTATGTTTTACGAGGGTCGTTATGTTTTTCCCGAGCAGCTTACTTTTTCATATTTTTTTCTTCTTCTATTTTTCTTTCCTCCCTGTTTTCATCTAGCTTTTTTATTCCACCATATGAGGAATTTTTTTTTTTTTTTGTGAGCCATCGTCTCTTGTTCTAGTTTCCTTTCTCTAGTTTTACAAACACAGAAAGGAAAGGACTTAATACCATTTCCTAATTTAATTAGCTTAAACTAGAGTATTTGATTCAGTATCGTTTTCTAATTTTTGTTTTGAAGTTTAAATTTTGTGGCAGTTAAAAGACGAAAATCGTTCGGAAAAGTATAACTAGAATATTCGCCTCAGTATCGTTTTCTAATTTTTGTTTTGAAGCTTAAATTTCGTGGCAGTTAAATGACGAAAATCGTTCGGAAAAATATAACTAGAATATTCGCCTCAGTATCGTTTTCAAATTTTTGTTTTGAAGCTTAAATTTTGTGAGTAGCTAAAATGACGAAAATCGTTCGGTAAAATATAATTCGAATTGTAACCTTGGAAAAGAACTGTAATTTTTGTATGTTTAGAATCCCCTTCTGTTCGAAAAAGAATTTCTTCTTTCTTTTACAACCTTTATTAAGCTGTGGGAAGTATATTTTTCACCCACAATTTTTTAATTTTAGATTATCGATATATTCTTTCATCTATAATTTGTGCTGCCACCAGAAAAAAAAATACTAAAGAATAAAAAAAATACCAATGAAAGGCTATGTTTAAATAAATGTGGATGCGAGTGTATGTAAGCATTGGTGCCAGGAAGAAATGCCAACACTGGGGAGCTACGTACGCTTGTGCGCTATCCGTTCGTTTATTTCTCATCGAGTTTATTTGCAGTACATACTTAGTACACATAGATACGATTATTTATAAGCACAGATGGTCATAAGTAAATTGCCAATTGTTTTTCAGTATGTAAATTTTTGAAATACCACCAACCTTCATATTAAAATAAATAAATAAAAATTAAAGAAAGTCTTAGAAAATCTCGACCCAATTATATTTTAACGCAACTTAGTGTTCTCGCCTGGCGACAATTGTTGCTAAATGTTTCACTGTCGCTAAAATCATACGCATGGGTGACAAATTTTAGGTCTTGAAATATGCCTGAAATATACATGATAGAATTTAAAAAAAAAAATTGCATCGAATTCCATGTTCTTAAAACAATTTATTTTACTAATTTCATTGTTCTACGCGTGGTATGGAAATTCCAATGAAATGTTATGTATTATTCGAAGGAAGGCTAACTTTCTGAGAATTATTGCTAGGATTATTTTTATATAACTTGGAATAAATTTATAGTAACTGTTTATTTTTATTGTTCTACATATATTTTTGAACCAAATGTAATAGAAAATTCTTTTTTTCTTTCCAGAGGAGAATAAATATAGGACAGCGTATGCTTGTGAAGGGAGGCAATTGAAGATCACGTGTGAGGCGGGTCACATGGTGCACTTACTAAGGGCGAACTATGGCCGTTTTAGTATAAGCATTTGTAATGAGCATGGCAATTTAGATTGGAGTGTAGATTGCACGTCACCATCATCCTTCCACGTCATCAAAGAAACGTAAGTAAATTTTAAAGCTAACTTTCAACAATATAACGAACGTAATCGATTAATTGTTATTAACAATTATTTTTTATCACTTTGTGAATGGTGTTCTCCAATGATCGCCCTTCATATATATTCTTTGTGAAAAAATGAGGTCTAAAACAGCATACACATTAGGATCTCAAAACAATATTTTGAGAGAGAGAGTATTCACAGTTAGGTAACGTTTTTAGGTTTTTATACATAGTCAGCGGACTTTTGTTAAATAGTAAAGCGATTCTTGTTCTTACTGCTTCAAAACTCCCATGCATATTGTAAACAAGTAGAAATCACTTTAATTCGGAGCGAAAAATCACGCCCTGAACTCTTCATCAGCGAGAAATAAAATGATTTGTAAAACTAACGGAAAAAACCATCGAAACTAATAAAACGTCAATTGTAGAAGGATTTGCGAATCAAATTATTTCTTCTAATTATTCACAAAAGGCAAATAAGGATGAAAAACTCATCTACTAATAAAAAAGGGTTGAGCAGATGTGAATCAGAACTTTTAGAGGTCATAAAATGACCTCCGGGTGTCCTTCCGTTTTATATATTTAGTTTGCGAACCTCTATGTACGTATTTTTTTGTCTGTATTTCAGATCAAGATTCTGAATATGTCTATTACAGAACACGTTGCATGCAACACTGTAATTATAAAATTTATGGGGGCAGACTCCACAGTATTTAGGGAAATTTTCCTAACTTGCCCTTTGGTCAGCAAAAAAATCTGGTATGGGGGAAGGTCAAATAATTTTACCAAATTCTTCTCCATTTTCTCATAACAAAGAAGAATTTGAAAATTTTTTGACTGAACGGTGGATAATTTAATAAAATATTTTCTGGAAATTAGTTTTTTGATAAAATTTTCCCATATTAATCTTGTCAGTGCATTTTTGTTAGTGAAACAGGTTGATTACATAGATTGAAAAAAATATGTTTTTAAAGAGCTATTTTAAAAAGAGTAGGAAAAAAAAAACAAGAATACTTAACTCTAGACATATAATTTCTTGACGCATAATTTAGACGTATAATTTTGTGAATAATAAAGTACTTCATACGGTTGATGACTTTAACTTTCTAGTTAAATTATTTTTTCTTTACTTTTCAAGTAGTTTTAAGTTATTCAATTCTATACTTAATCTGGCTGACATATACTTTAATATTTTAAATCAAAATTAGTTTTCAATTTCAATGTGTCTCATAAAATTTTTAATAAATATATTTTTATAGATAGGTACGAAAACAAATTAAAATTTTTTTTTTATTTGTGTTTTTTATAAAGCAAATAATATTTTATTTTTAATTTTAGTGAAAAAAAATAAGTACTTCTACTTGGATAAACTCTTGTTTACTTTTCTTTCGGTAGTTTCACCTTCTACTAGCATGCAAAAAATAAGTGAAATCTAATTTTTTTTAAAAAAAAGAGACGAAATAACTCATTATTTATACATAACCCTGCCATTACATTATTTACGTTCAAAATCTAGAAGGAATTTCTCTTTCAAATTCCCATCTCTTTATCGCCATTAAAAACAGCCATCCCAAAATTAAAATAACTTGATATAAAAGAAAATAGAAATTTAAAAAAAATAAAATACACATAGCTTCCATAAAGAGTTTTGAGAAAACAAGCTTTTTAAAAATTGAGCGTAGATTGCCGATCAACAATTTTAATTAGCTAAAGCAATGCCTTGCTTTTTCCCTTGCATGCCACATTTTAAGAACTTCATCAGATTAATCAAGAACTTAAGTTTTTTCAGTTATTTTGGTTATTTTTATAATCAACATTTCTGTGAGCGCTCGCATACTTTAGTGCTTATTCAAGCGTTGAAAGGATAAATTTTCCTAAAAGCAGATATTTGCAGACATCCAGAACTGCGTGAATTTTCTTAATTAATAAAACTAGTATTTCTGGCCTTTATTATGTGCACGTCGCTGATTTCATTATGGTATGGTGTTCTATGTTCAGTTTATTTGTGCGTTGCTGTAATCGCATTGTCGCTTTTGAAGTTTTCTATTCAGACACTGTTTAGAAAATCGCTGTTTTTTTTAGACTGAATTGTCTTCACATTTTTTCTTTCTCTTCTTTTCGTTTAAAAAGGACATCAAGGCCGAAATAGCCTGATGGTAGGGCGTTAAGTCCATGTCCAAGAGGTCATGAGTTCGAATCCCTCTGGCCGATAACTTTCCGTGTAGTAAATGGTGACTGGTGCACGTTAATCCTCTATGTGCCTATAACAAATCAATACCTCTGGAGGGACTGAATTGGAGATTGATCATTCTTTGGTTCAGGTCAAAATTACGATCTGTGGATGTATGAATGGGTCAACCTTATAAACGGTCTGTGACGTGTTTGTGGTTGGAGTCATATTCTTGACCATAGATGGCGCCGCTGAAAAAGCAAGGACCGCATCCTCTGCCTTAAATTCGTTTGGTTTCACCAGACTTACTGATATTTGGCAAGGGGCATTTGTGAAACAACAACGGAGGACATAAAAATAAAATAATCCAAAAATCTTATTTTTTTTTCGATACAATACCCAAGAATTCAGTTGATTCGTAAAATTAATGTTCATTGGTCAATTTTTTAGCTAAATGATTTTGAACGCAACGGGTAAATGTACCTTCGAAGATTTGTCAGTTGACTGACTAATCAGCATTTATTGTGCAGGGAAAATCCTTAAACATCCTGAAGTCAAGCGAACTCCAACGTATGATCCTTCTACCAATGTGGATATTTTTAGTTAGCATTGAGATCGTTGCGAGCAGGTAACAATATGCAAATGAATCAGACACATTTGGGATTCGAATCTGGGTTGAATTTCAATATATGAGATCTGAGTCAAAGATGGGAATATAATCCCAACGAAAGAAGGTATTATTTATTTATCTAATGGGGAAATATGAGTAGCAATAACAATAATCCGCATTATTAATATTATTAGTAGTAGTATTTTACATGTTTTTACAATCCATTGAAGACCCCTGATTGGTATTTTGATTGCTGAAGAAATTTTTGTACATCGTATAAAGGTCGCGCTATCTTATACACCTTTGCCTGCTTAGTGAATACTCTTTTTTCTTTTATATTTAGTTTGCATAAAAAGTTAGTTAATCAGGTTGTATATCATTTATCAAGCAATGTTACATATTGTAATTGTTTTTCATTTATGTTAGCAGTATTTTCTGACAGCAGAAAAATTCCTTTTCATATCAAAAATCAAAACTTTCGAATCCCCGCCCCCAGTTTTTATAGTATTCTAGATTAGGGAGGTTCTTGCTAAAGAGAGTAAAGTAAATGATTAAATTTTCTCAGAATAAATACCTCAGATATGGATTAACAGTCAACATGGATTGGACAAGTTGGTTGCTTATGCTTTTTAATAGAAACAGTGCTATGTCAATTGCTTCCTGATCTTTCTATACGTTCTAAAATTGATTTTATCGAATTTACTAAAATATTTTTATGTATTGAAAAAAAAAATTTTTTTAACTGAAATTTTTTTTAAGGAGTATTAAAAATAATGCTGCTAAATCCTATAATCCATAAATCTTTAAAAAAAAAATCAAATAAAATTTCGCTAGAACAAATTTGTATTGTGCAAAATTTTATAACCGCTTTTATATTGTTTCGCTCGAAAAGAAATGAAATTAACTATATCGAAATGCTTTTCAAAAACTGTATTATAATACCCAAAGTAGAAAATTTCAACGTGATGTTGTAAAGGAAGGAAAAATCAAGAAATAAATGAGTAAAAATAAGAATAATACTCCTCCTTTCTTATCTTAAAACCTAATCTTGCATGATTAATTTCTCTTAACTTGTAGAATATCCATCGCGGCTCGGCCTGTTCTTTGTCGGATGTGTTGTGTACTTATACTTTGTTTGAGAAAAATGGCACAAGTCTTGTTTTACTTTCGCTTGAAAATGGCTGTTGCTTGAAAACACTTAAACAAAGACAAACTTATAATTACATCTAAACTATAATTAGTTTCATTTATCGGCGCTAATGTAAGACATGATTTTAATTTTTTTTAATGTTTTATTTTTCAAAACTTTTTTATTCATAAACAACTATGATCTAAAAAAGGATTATTGTTTTTTTTTTTCTTTTTTCGAAAAGTTATTAAATAACTGTGAAATTTCAGATTTTTATTTCATGTTTCCCCTACTGTAAAAATTAATTTGAATATTTTAAGCTAGGAAACGTCAAAGGAAATATGCTTTCGTGTTATTTACATCTGTTTAATATATATGTTAGATTGTCTGTAACATTACAAAAAATGTTAACAAATATGTCGCAATATGCATGTAGCATATTACAACAGACGTTTCAGTGTTGGCAGAGGCGTCACTCTCCATTGGTGAAGAGCTGAAGGCCGTGAGTTCGATTCTGGCAGTCGACTAAGCAACAAGCGCGTATCTGTCGAGACTGAAAGTCCTCTCATTGGTAGAGGTGTGAGAGTTAGGAGAGAGGGGTATCAGCTTAGGCGCAGTCCACGTCGTCTGAAAGGGGTCAAAATTACCATGAGTTTTAAAGTAAAGAGTCCTGGAAAACAGAGCTAGGTGTTTGGAAATGGTTGGGTGGTTTGTGACATTACAACAGTAATCAATAGAAGCAATCGGTAGAGGCCTTTCTCACTCCCTTGGTGGCCGTAAGTTCGATCCTGGAAGCCGAATTAACAACTGTTGTGTTTATGCAACTGGGTGCACGTTAAATCTGACGTCCACTTACTTGTTGTGGTATTTTGTATTTTGTAACCGTGGTTGCACAGCCGACCCAAATTTGGCTTTATGACTACTAATGTTGTAATTTTGAACCAATCCAGAAGACAAGTAAAGCTCTGGGTCAGTACCCTCAGAGGTATGATTTTATATGAGAACATGGAGGACTTTGCTACTCGACAGATGCTGAAAGTTTCGAGATCTTATCATGGCAGTTAAATTATAGATAATGGTAGAGGTGTGGGA